AAGTATGTTTTGCTAATCTCCTATGTATATGTCAAGCCAATCAAATTGATAGTCAAGATTAACTATCAGAGGTATAGAAGGAATGAAGGTAAGAGGTAGAGAGCATATAAGTACAGTTTATGAGGCAGGGAAAATGGTGACTTGGTGTGGTTCTCTTAGAGTGTAAAGCCAATTTTTCTATAGATAGTTTGGCAGGTTTTTCATACATTATCCTTCCAGAAACCTTTGCACTTCTTCAGTGAGGAAGCTGCCTCTTCTAACATCCACTCTACTTAGACACCAACTGGTTCTTCTCTTTAGTGCCTTTAGCTCCTGCAATTCATCCATAATGAATCCAAGCAAGTAGCTCTAGCTAAAGAATTTCCCCTCTGAACCTCACCCCTTACTCAGTAGAAGTATCATGCTTTCTATTAAAGGAATCATACCCTAAGCTTTCGGGTGAGTCCCCCAAAGCTCTTCTCCCTCTACTTCAAGTGAGGGGAAACCACACACTCCCAACTTCAAGAGAGATGAAGGAAAATGTACATTACTGATAACTCTCTCTAAACCTCATATAGGCTACAGCTGATTGTCCCCAGGGCTGCAAAACACTCACAATGCCATTGGTTTGCCAAATTTAATGGACTAGCACTTGGCTTTAGGATGACATTTTTCTTGGCATCCAAATGCACTTGTTTTTCCACCTTTAGAGCAATAGCCAAAACTCCAAAACAACAGGCAAAAATGTACCTAACGCTGTGTTATTCTAAGAAATAATGGGGTTAGTTACTAGAAATTCTGAATATAATTGCATTTTTTGATCCTGCACTCTAACTGGAAATCTGAATAATCCATATTCTACCTGAGAGACCCAAGAAGTTATTCAGAAACCTGGGTGCTTCGGCCAGATTTGCAGCAGTGACCCAGGAAATATCATAATGTTTCTGTCCAACTTTCTGTCTATGTCCTGACTTTTGATTATGTCTCCACTTTACAGCTCTACTCATTCCCTCCAAACTTGTTAACTGTGAATTCCTTCACTTTTCCTTCAGAATACACCAAGGAATTTACCCTAGACTCACATTTATCTGGAAAAAAGAGCTAGAAAAATTGCTCCAAGCTCTGGACCCACTTACCCCAAAATACAATAAAAGCTCATTTATGTATTGTGATATGTGAGACCCAGTAAGTATCTTCTTCTCTTAGTACTTAGAGGGCTCATGTGAAAAAATTTGTTTAGTAAATGTGTCCTCAGCATTATCTTATTTTAAAAATTACTTTTATTTTAGTTATATATGATGTATATTTAGCCAGGCACACAGTCAAGGGGAACAAGTTCTATATCCTCTTAACATATAATTTTGTTTTCACAATTATATAGATATTAAAATTATTCAAGCTCTGATTTAGCTAAAGTAGTCTGAATAGTAGATAAATACTAAGTATCTTTTTACATTAGTATAACTGTCTGCCAAGTATATCATGGGATATACCTTTTTTTTTTTTTTTTTTGGTACCAGGGATTGAACTTGGGTCCTTGCGCTTGCGAGACAGGCCACCAAACCACTGAGCTAAATCCCCAGCCCTTGATATACCTTTTTAAAAATATTTACCCTGAAATTCAAATTTATGTGGGCATCCTATATTTTAATTGATCAATCTCACAATCCTACTTACTGGAACTTCCAATCTGACTACCCATAGCAGCCCTCAAAGCATTAAGTTTTTAAATGAAAATCATATATTGGCATAGTAATATATATGCTAATGATTGAACCCTGCTCAATTCCGAATACAACTGATTAATATGTTCTTTCTGATCTTCCTAAGAAAGGAAAAGAAGTTTGAATCCACATTAACAGAAACAAGAAGAGAGCACCGAACAGTTTTTACTGTAATTTCATCTCAAATATACTCACAAAGTCCCTAAAAATATATGAAATGACTGAGAATATCTTTGGCACCAAGGAAAAGAAAATGCAGACTCAACATGGTTTGATTAACAAGGAAATGAAGGAATACCTACATCCAGAAGTCCAGAACCATAATGATGCCATCAAACCCAGGCCCAAGCTCTCTGTCATTCTTCTCTGCCCTCCTAGGGTATCAGTTTTGTCTGAGGCTTGCTTTCCCTCATCCTAGACAAATGAACTGCAGTACACATCCAACAGAAGAGAAACAAAATTCTGCTTTTCAGTCTGACTGCACTACTCACATGGACCTTTCCATCCTTGGACAAGTAGCTGTCACCATGAGAAAGCCAGGAGCTTATTGGCACAGAATCAGGGCTTCTCCAGGAGCTGGTGATAGAGTGCACTTCCAAACAAAAAGTGGATTCATAAGGATTCAAGGAGAATGAAAGCCGAGTAGGCAACAGATCCCTTAAAAACTACCATTGGCCCTTTGGTCTTTTATTCAAGTGGGCCATCAGTTTGATAAGAAAACTGTCCTTAGTGCATCTTTAAAACTGTAAACCTACTCTGGTGAGTTCACCAAACACCACTGAAGCAGAATCTCATGAATTAAATCTGCCTCTATGAAAATGGACTGATGCTTAGATTAGAAAAGTAAGTAGATATTTCAAAACTTTTGGGCAAATATACTGTTCTTTCTATTTTCGTCTTAGAAACACCGACATGGTTAAAGACATTCCCAAATCTTCCTTTAATGAAAGATAATAGCAATCATGACACATGTGATTTTAGTAGATTTTTATTTGAAATAAGTCTATGTTGATCTCATTTTTGTTTCACGTAACCTAAAGACAGGGCAGGTATTATTAGCACCATGTTTCTGACATGGAAACTGAGAGCCACCCTGATAAAGAGATGTGTCTGTGATCACTTTCAGTTACACTGGGAAGTAGGCAAGAGTCCAGTTACACTGGGAAGTAGGCAAGAGTCCAGTTACACTGGGAAGTAGGCAAGAGGAGTCCAGTTACACTGGGAAGTAGGCAAGAGTCCAGTTACACTGGGAAGTAGGCAAGAGGAGTCCAGTTACACTGGGAAGTAGGCAAGAGTCCAGTTACACTGAGAAGTAGGCAAGAGTCCAGTTACACTGGGAAGTAGGCAAGAGT